CATTATGTTAAAAAGATTGAATTTTCTTCCAGTTGCACTAATCCCAATAATCAAAAACTAGATCTTTCCAGCGTTCAAAACCAAACCATGATCCCTTTACTATGTATAAATTGCATTTAAGTCAGAATTTATTGCAGCCATCAACTGGCTGGCTGGCTTGCTCAGAAGGAAATCAAGCAGCTGAGTGTCATCAGCGTAGAGATGGATGGTACCAAAAGAAGCCTGCTCTGGAGGGCGGAAGTATAGAGGCTAAAAAGTAGGGGTCCGAGAATACTTCCCTGTGGAACAACATAATCCAACATTACGGAACAAGATCTCGGTCCATCGACGTCCACAATATGCACAGGCATGTCCAAATAACTAGAGATACACAGGCTAACCCGCTCACAAAAACCAAAATACCCCAAGCTAGCTATCAGCATTTCATAATTTAAAAGATCAAAAGTTTTGCTGTAGTCTAGCAATACTGAACAGGGCGCCTGCTAAGCGCTTGCTAAGAGCCGGGACTGTCATGCCCATCCTGATACACAGACTGAACCTGCAGCAATATATTCTTATTTGCAGAATACTTTCCAAGGGGTAAACCGCTGATCCAGTTTTTGTACACCACAATGACTAAATGGGGAATTACTTCGAATATCCACCTTATTCCCGTAATTCCCTAGCAATACTTTATACTGAATTCCCAGTAATTCCCGACAATTCCCAGAAATTCATCTCAATTCCAACAATTCCTTAGTGATTCCTAGTAATTCCCAGTGATACCACCAATCAATATTTCCTTGGAAATAGACATAGTTATACTCATAAATAATAGTTCCGATTGATCATTAAAGAAAGTCATCATAAAGAGGTATGAATTGGAAACATAGAGCTTAGCGGAACAATATTACATGTTATAAAATTTGAATTTTGGAGTGTTATGCTAAAAACACAAATAAAAGTACAAAATACAAATGATAAGCAGAGAACTGCTATCCTGTATTCTTATTAATCTGGTTTTCTGCCTTAGTTGAAATCCATATTAAAATTGAATTTTATCAAATTGTCATTTAGTAGGTGCAGGTTTCTGAATAGCAAGTCACCTCGGGTTAAGCATAACTCCAGGGTAAACATTGCAACTGGACACGTTTAACCTGGAGTTGAAACCAACCCAGAGGTGACTCGCTTAGGGTAGACTGAAAAGGCAAAAATACTTGGAGAGTTTTGGTTCTGTTGTCCCAACTTTGTTTTATTCAGGGAAAGGAACTAACCGAGGGGTAAACTACTAATGGAAATCATTGTACATTTTTTTGGGGATCACCTCGGGGATCACATAGTAATCAATCAGGAATGCATGGAAATCACTTGGGAATAACCTAGGAATCGCTAGGGATCTCCTACGACGCCATGGGAATCACATAGGAATCCATTGGCAATCGCTGAGAATCATGTGGTAATCGCAGGAAATATCATCTCATTCGAATAACTGAACCCGAGACTACGAAGAGTTTAGAAATTGAAGAAGAAGAACGATATGAAGATTAGGTCCAGTCAGAGCGTCAACTATCAGTTTTCTGAATATTTTCAACCAATGAAATTCGCTCTGACTGGTTTGTGATTTCTGTGAGAACCGACCTAAAAAATGAAAACATGAATCTTGAAACATCTCTCGAATCCGACTTGCCAAAACAAGACACAGAATTTCTTCACACATCAGGGTTTAGCGATTGCGATTCGCTACAATTAAGAGATTATTCAGGGCTCGCGAGAAGCAGAGACGATAGCACACCTGAATCAGAATCAGAAATAAGTTTGTCGAGTGAAACCCTAACTGAAGATGTCTCTGATTCAGATGAACATCCTGAATCAATTATTTAAGATCCATATTATGCAGAGTAGACACACAATGGTATCTAAGGCTCAACAGCTATTTATACCTACAACAAAATCGGTCTGGGTGTGAACAACCATCGGTAACTTTTGGAAGAATTGTGAATAAAGAAGTTGCCAATTTTTCAGTGGAAACGTGTTTTTATAAGAGAAAAGACTAATTATTTTGGTCATATCAATGCAAAGCTTAACAATTAAACATCGTTTTCGTAATAAACACTCTAGTTGGATAAGGTCGAATCTTTGAAAATCTAGTACCTCATATTTAGTGCTAATTAAGTACATTCATGGCACGCCTAAAAAACTAACAATGATGTATTTATTACGAAATAACCACGGAAAAGTGCTAACTTAAGACTTGAATTAGCACACATACATCGAATCGACCGCGCGAGAACGAAATTCGCATGCAGATATTTAGTGCTAATTTAGTACTTCAAAAACGACGACCCGAAACGAATTAGTATCACATCAGCACAGAGCTAGCACTTGTGTGCTGGCTTAGTGGTTAACGAACATTATCACCGATGACGCGATGAAACTAGAGTACCTACTTAGTTAGTACACATTTAGTGCTAATTTCGGACGTAAGTTTGGGTTAGTTTTGGTTAGTTTGGGTTAGTTCTGTGCCGATGTGATACTAATTCGTTTCGGGTCGTCGTTTTTGAAGTACCAAATTAGCACTAAATATGCGCATGCGAATTCCGTTCTCGTGCGGTCGATTCGATGTATGTGTGCTAATTCAAGTCTTAAGTTAGCACTTTTCCGTGGTTATTTCGTAATAAAATAAATAAATAAATAAATGTTTATTTCACGGACAAGCCATTTTACAATATATAAATGTTACAATATGTATAATATGATTTGAATCACAGATATAAATGTTTAATTAAATGAAAAGGAAATAAGTAATCTTTACACTTATCTAGCCACAATATTAGATACTATAACCTGTTAATCATAAATAAAATGTACATTAATAATAGTAGATATGTTTAACATTTAGGATATCAGACTAAAAAATTATAAATCACAGATCGTACAATGTATAAAACTAAAACTAAAAAGGGGTTTGACTAGAGTTGTAGTGATTTTATTTTCATTTTAAAACGGTTTAAAGAAGTATTAAAGATATTGATGTGAGAATCTACTAAAACAGAATTTGCAAGCCTTAACATTCTAGATATGGGGGAATAATAACCATAGTTTGTTCGATGATATTTAACATGAAAAAATCTATTATTACGAGTATTATTATTGCGTGGAACAATAAAACCAATTTGTGATAATAATTCAGGAGACTGTACAATACCATTTACTAACTTAAAAAGAATGCACAAGTCCTGCTGATTTCTTCTATGTTCAAGAGTTTGCAAGTTTAATAGTTTTAACAAGTCGTTGTAAGCTATAGAATCATGGGGGATTCCGATTTTGAATGCAATAAATCGTAAAAGTTTTCTCTGGATCTTTTCAATTTGATATTTGTGATTCTCATAGAAAGGGGACCAGACAGGACTTGCATACTCGAGGACTTGCCTAACAATGGCAGAGTAAGCGTTTTTAAGTGTATAGACATTATTAAGTCCTTCAGGTTACGAAGTAAAAATCCCAATAATCTCATTGCTTTGTTTGAGATCCTCTCAATATCTGCAAAAGGATATTATTTTACATTTGTTAATATTTAAACCAAGATGATTTTCATTACACCAATTTGAAAAATCATTGAGTTCCTCCTGAAGGGTCAAACAGTCATTGATATTTTCAACAACAGTAAAGACTTTTTTATCGTCTGCAGAATTCAGAAATTTGCAGCTTTTAAAAACAGTCTTCACATCATTTAAGAACAAATTGAATAGTAATAAATACATCATTGTTAGTTTTTTAGGTGTACTACGAATGTACTAAATTAGCACTAAATATGAGGTACTAGATTTTCAAAGATTCGACCTTATCCAACTAGAGTGTGCCAGCTTAATCTTAAGCTGGCACACATGCACATAATTTTTTTAAAGATAGAATTATAAAAAAAAATTCTTCGTACTAAATTAGCACTAAATAGGCCTGAATTTGGTACTCTAGTTTTTCTGAGGTGTGCCATTTTCGTTATACTAATTTTTGAGACCTCATTACTTTTGAATAATCGTTTAATACTCTCGTTGAAACAACTCGAATAGTCCTTTTCTTGTGGTTTAAAACTTGCACGCTATTAGTCCGACGTAGCCTCGCTACCTCATAACCTATGTAATAATAACCAACAATTTTCGCAACTCCTAAATAATTCCCCAATAATTCCCACGATTCCTTAGCTTAGTATTTTCAACATTTCCTTGGCAATTCCTACATATTTCCCAATACCTAATTCCTACTAATTCCCTGATTTTGTATACCATAATTCCCAGCGGTTCACCTCGAGGTTGACCCCTTGATACTTTCAAATTATATCACTAACTAAGCAGCTCGAACAGTTTGGCCAAAATTGGTAAAAGACAAATGGCCCTTAACTCAGACAGCGTTTTTATTTTGGGAGACTTGGGTAATGGCTTAACAATAGAGGTCTTCAAAATACTTGGAAACTCTCCACTCTGCAAGCTAGTGTTAAACTAGTGGTGGTACTGGCTTGCAATCTTGGGAATACATAATAGCGGGCTTTTAAGGAGCATTTGTATTCTGTGAAGCCAGGTACCCATCAAATAATTCTAATGCAGAGCCATTGTATGCGAGGTTGAATGCCTCTTGTCATAAAATATGAAATATTAGCCACCAACTCCTTTTTTTCTAGGTACTAGAAATGATAAGTTTGATGTTTAAACATGAAAATGTGGGCGAGTTTCTCAATAGTAGGTCACCCCCGGGTTGAGCATAACTCTCGGCATAACTCCAAAGTAAAACTTGCAATAACCTGGAGTTAAAAACAACCCGGAGCTGACTCGCTATTGAGAAACCGGACCTGTGTGAATGTAAATCAATCGATCACCCTCTTCAAATGATTTGTAGCTACATAAGAAGATCCAGAAAAAGATTCAACCGAGGATTCAACTTTTTTGAAAATTCAAATTTGCAAGAATGAAGGAAAATAAATTTACTATGTGTGTTTTGAAGCATATTTTCAAAATATTATAGTTTCTTACCTTATATTAATGGAAAAATATTTATCCTTATCTTGACATTCCAGAATCTCTAGTAGCTCTGCTCTGTGATTTGTTAGAAGATAATATTCCTCTGACATTTTTTTCTTTGAAAATTATAACAAAAGGCCAGCTTCTTTACAATGATGAGTAATAGGTACACTTTTCGATTCAAGAATGAATAAGGAATTGGAAGTTCAATGTTCTGTGGTACAGCAAAATATATTCTGTCTACCGATTTGAAATACAACAAAACAATTGTTTGTTTATTGGCCGGCCTTGTTTATTTTGTGTCAGTGGCAATAACAGGCTAAAACCGGGGGCTAAGCTGAAGTCACAATAATTGATAAAAACAGATTACAGGCGAGAAACAACAAAAAAACTATACTCCGGCTTTGAGGCTGCTTGAAACACAGAGTTTAGTATGTATCTATCTGGCAATGTTTTGACTTTCAGATCATTCTATAAAAATCACATAAGTCTCAATCATTCTTTGATCCATATTCGAGAAATACAAAAATCACATCTATCGTGCGTGTGGAAAATACAACTAAACTGTGAAACTAGAATTTTGTTTATTTTATAAAAATTATAAACAAAAGAGAAGTACAGGTTATGTTTATTCGTAAATTGTGGTACCGACAAAATCTCGAAGGTGGCGCCTGTGTGGCGCGCTGACTAGGGGTGCGTTCAAGGACAGCAATGCTAATGCCAAAACCTACTTTTCCCCCTCCGCCGGTAATGCCGAAACAAGTAGGTTGGAGCCGAGCTCGAACGCAAAATGCCAATTTTGGCTTGGCTGTAGCCATTCCTGAACGCAGCCTAGGACTCAATTGCTGTCTTATTTTTGATTGGTTATAAAATCCCATATATTTATATTGAAAACGCCGCCATCTTGTTCCCAGCTCTTGTTACTTTTAAATATAAATACATGGGATTTACGTGAACATCCATCGTAAATCATGGACAACAACGTATTTGATTATTTGATGGACCTAATAATAGTCATCAAATACGTCGATTTCAATTTTTTATGATAGATGTCCATTTAAATCCTATATATTAATATTTAAAAGTAACAAGAGGTTGGGAACAAGATGGCGGCGGGACCTCTATTGTCGCCACTGTATGTAAAGGTTTATTTAGCCACTGTAGCGCTGACTTCTGACCGCTTTCCAGGGCCGGCCGTTTTTTATTATTTACTACAATAAACAATAGAGCAAACTCCAAATGGTATAATTTATATATTAAGTCTATATAAAAAAAATTAAACCATGCTAAGGGTTAAAGTCGTGTCCAGTAACAGCGTTTTGGCTCCCAATACACATACCTACATCGGAGCTGCAACTTATCGGTCCCGCCAATAGGGTACTTGCATGGAAAATTAAATTAATTATTGTATATTGCAAACTGTAGGAAATCGAAAAAAAATTGATGCGTGCTTTTTATTTTGTCCAAATACGATTATTTCGAAAGTTATACAAATATTGAGTTTTGTATATATAGATATACTGAGTATGAGCGACATCACAACGTATTCGTATTATAAGTTATGACGTCAGAAGGACATTTCAAAGCGTTGTATCTCCGTCAATTTTTGACTAACAAGAAAAAGAACAAACACGTGTTGACTTATTTTTCATGGACTATCGAAATCAGCAATAAAAAAATTTGAAGCAAAGGGCCTATTGATCAAAAAGTGAGCCTAAACGGATTTAGAATGTTCGGCTCAGAACGGAGCTCTCACGAGTTGCTCTCGGCGCGACTCACGTGTTCGACAGCAATAAAAAACACTCTCAAATCTCTATTGATTTCAAATGGTGTGCCCTCGTTTGGATTATAATCGCTCTCGAAGCACTCCCGCAGAGATCTCTGACGTCAGCGCCCAGACGGAGATCGCTCTGGGGGCAGTAAAATCGGAAATGTTATTAGTTATTAATAATTTGACTTAGAAGACGCTTATTTTAATGCAGGAAATATTTGAGGTTTAAGTAGCGTGTTCCATCTGACATCGGCGCTCCAAGCTTGGGAGGTTCGAAGCGCGCGGTGTCAAACCTACGGTTTCCTGGGCTGCGTTCAGGAATGGCTACAGCCAAGCCAAAATTGGCATTTTGCGTTCGAGTTCGGCTCCAACCTACGTGGTGCGGCATTACCAGTGGAGGGGGAAAAGTAGGTTTTGGCATTAGCATTGCCGTCTTTGAACGCAGCCCAGGGCTGCGTTCAGGAATGACTACAGCCAAGCCAAAATTGGCATTCTGCGTTCGAGTTCGGCTCCAACCTACGTTGTTCGGCATTACAAGTGGAGGGGGAAAAGTAGGTTTTGGCATTAGCATTGCCGTCCTTGAACGCTCCCCAGGCTTTCATGCATTTAAATGGTTTGAGTGGGGCTTAAGCACTCAGGTGCAACAAATACTTTTCGAAAGGAATAAAGCCTAGTACTCATAACTGCGGAATTCGGATTTTTTTGACATTGCTTCGACAATTTGACGTTTGATACACGCATAAAACGTCAAATTTTCAACGCAATGTCAAAAAAATGCGAATTTCGCAGTTATGAGTACTAGGCTTAAGCCTAGTACTCATAACTGCGAAGTTCGCTCTTTTTTGACATTGCTTCGACAATTTGACGTTTTATGCGTGTATCAAACGTCAAATTGTCGAAGCAATGTCAAAAAAGTGCGAATTTCGCAGTTATGAGTACAAGGCTATAGGCGCGTAACGCCCCGGAGCTGTACCGGAGCTCCTCCTAGGTGTGAAAGGAATACAACTAAAGTTATTTCACTCCAAACGATCGGTGCTTGCACCAGTACGTGACAACCGCCAAACCGAGTGATTCGAACGATAGCAGTGTGATCTTTATAGTTCGAGTAGACGCTCCGAGCTGCTGTACTGTTTTATTTTCCCTGTTCTTCTCATCAGAAGGAAAAAAGATGGAGGATGCTCTGAGCATTCAGTGTTTCAAGACAAACTCACGCATTGCGTTCGGTATTTTGCTCAAAGAGCAGAGCGTGCGAGCGAACAGAGCAGTTGTACGCTGTATCAGAGTACCAGAAATTTTAATAAACGAACGCGAATGAGCCTACACCGAGTACAGTTTTCAAATAAACGAACGGTAAATTCAAGCTCGGAGATCTCAAATCAATATAGTTGTATTCCTTTCAAGAGTTTGAAACACTCGAGCTACTCGCTTCAGTGTTTAGTCACCCCCCGATTTGCAGGGAACTGCGTGGTGCAACAAACACTTTTCGAAAGGAAAAAGCGCGTGAAGCCCCGGAGCTGTTCTCCTCATTGGTGTGAAAGGAATACAACTTATACCGAACGCACGGACGGATGGCCGGATTTTCATGCATCCGTTTTCCGACGAAATATGTCCGAAAAATCTTCTATTTTGACATATTTTTACAAGATTATGTCAGAATAGAATGTTTTTCGGACATCTTTCGTCGGAAAAACGGATGCATGAAAATTAAGCTTAACATGACATACCGTTTTCGAACGCAACCCTGTTGGCAGTTACCCGATTCTTGGCAGTCTCCCATATGTTGATGTTTGTTGGTGTTGGTAGCTCCATTGTGCAGTGTGCTGTCACTAAATTTGAACCCATATTATAATTTAATAGTTTTAACACAGGTTTTAATATAGGTATGTGCAAATTTTGGGGTATGTTACATATTTTTACTTTACCTATCCTATAGCTACGTCAATACATTACTGTACAACAGATTCTACTGCTAAGTAAAGTAAACCAGGTCATAACATCACACAAAAACTTCAAGACTACACCTACGTTACCTACGTATTATGATTTGAAAATTCCTAGAAAGGTTGTAATAATTAGTAATGAAATATTCACAATCACAATTAATACTCATGAATTGATAAGTCTAGTTGTTGTTAGACATTCCATTCAATTCAGTAACAATGTGGGTCCCAACTCATGTGCAGGTGACAGGTAAGATTTTTAAAATAGATCAGCAATATTTTAATAGGTACCTATACTAATATTTTTTTGCTTACAGTGCAGAGGGCAATTGGTTTAATAACAAAAGGTAAAAACAACACAAATGATTGCTTTGTAACCATAGGACTGGGAAAAATAAAATATCAAACTTCAGTTAAGGAGAAAGCTTCGGCTGCAGTTGAATGGCATGAAGAATGTGAACTGTGAGTACAAATTTAGATTAGTAATTGGTAAATATTATTTTATAAAATTGTTGAAGTCTTTAACTCTGGCTTCGATAATAATTTCAGAATATTTAACAGTAGATTACAAAGTCTTCACTCTATTTCATATCAAACCAAACCCAAAAACCTGAATCTTATCTTAATTGACAAATAAAAGTCTTAGATTATCCTGAGGATTATCCTCATTTAGATTAGTGCTCTGTTTTTACTAGAGAACATGAAATGTTGCATTCCTTCTTATTTAATTTTTAGGAGGAATCAAAATCAAGATTAACAGTGGGTATTTTAAACAACAAGGTTCAAAGTCAAATCTTTTCACATGTGATAGTTTGATGAACCCAGTGAGGGTCAAGCAGGGGTCAGGAATGTGAACAGATGTTTTCAATTGAAGGTGTTGTTTACAATAATTTTTTATGCTTCCTCTTCCTCTGCTGTACCTGGCTTGCAATTGTATTGTTTTTCCTGTTGTTTTTCAATGAACACAGAAATTCATATACCAAGCATGGCAATTTTCATTAACAAAATATGTTTGTTGTGACTTGATAGAAATGTAGGTACTTGATAAGAGCGTTCCTATACATAGAAAGGCTTTTTCGTTGAGTTTTCAGTGAAAAGGTCGAGGCGGAATGAAATGAATCAAATCAAAATATGCTTTATTGCCACAAAAAAAATCATGTTTCATTGACAAAGCTGTTAGAAAAAATTTAATTACACAAAGCAATTAAAAAAAACTCCAATGTGTAATCATACAACACACTACTGAAGTGAAACTTCTACAAAAGGGTGAAGGAATTGGTTTATTGGTATTTTTTGTACAATATCAATTGAGATTTTTTTAAATTTATTATTTCCATAGATTATTTCATATTATTGTTTCCGTTAGAGTCATTCTCCAAGCATGAAACAATAGGCTTATCCGAGGGCTTATCATAACTAAAATATGCAATATGCATTCAGATATCTACAAAACACTGCATCTTTTGTACTTCGTGGTGGTTACCATAATCATTTATTGTTAGGTTAAATTCACGGTTTAAAAAATCTATTGTCACAACTGCCCGCTTTACGGGGGTGACATGGGGGGTTTGTAGCTTTGGGGGTCGATGGAGAGAAACTCGCTCAAGTTATATAGAAGTGTAAATATATATTTTCCCAAATATGCCCATACATGTACGCTAGTCCTATAAGACCCATGACCCTTCGAACACTGGGGCCCTTATAGGGAGCCACACGTCAACGCTGCTTGGGGGGACTGTCGATCAGTTATTGTCACCCTCATGCCTTGTCCAGAGGGCTTGCCCAACGAGAGGTAATTGCACTGGACAACGATAAGGCTGAAGATACCCAGAGGGGCTTTCCCAACGAGAGGTACTTGCACTGGGGAGACTTAATTCCAGAGGGGCTTTCCCAACAAGAGGTATTTGCACTGGTTTAAGTCTGCCTTTGCTGCGGCTTGCAGCGCAATTTATATCCGTTTATTGCTGAATTGCAATAAACATCCGACAGAATCGGCAATTAAATTAATAAGGTTGAATACCTGGTCCTCCTTTCCTGAGCAGCTAGTTGACACTATCAAAGGTTGTGCCTCCTCCAGAGCAAAATTATTATTAAAATCTTCACTTAAAATAAAAGATGTTTGAGAAATATCCTTGTTGATGTATTCACTATCAGGAACTTTATTACTATAAAGTTGAAGGGATTGAAAAATGAACTCCATAATTTTTTTCAGTGTTTGATTGGGAAACATACAGTGTGTCCAAGATAAGGCTGGGATAGCATTAGGATCTGAAGAATGGTTGGTATTACAATGTTTGGTTAGATTAGGAAAAAGTTGCGCAATTCAACGCTCAATAAAATGGTACTTTGACATTTGAAAAATTCCGAACATTTTTGCAAAGTCCCTTCTATTTTTTCCTGAGCTTATTTGAGGAGATATTTCAAAATAAATGTCACTTCATCAGTACCACTTTTCCTACTCTACAAGATGACATTATCAACTCTGTAGTAGCACTGGTAGTTTTCGACCAATTTCATTGCTGCTGATCGTCTCTAAGATCCTTGAGAAATGTATGGCAAGACAAATCCCAGACTTTTTTGAGGGGAATTCTCTTTTTAGTGACATTCAGTTTGGATTTCGAAGGGACAAGAATACCGTGGGGAGTGTTCTCAACCTAATTTCCGACATTCTTGAGTCATTTCACTCTAACCAAACACTGCCGTGCTGTTCTGTGACCTTAGGAAAGCCTTCGACCGCGTCGACCATGGAATTTTCTTGTGTAAGCTTCAGGACTATAGTTTCTCTAACGAGAATGTTCGTCTTTTGGAGTCGTACTTGCAGGGGAGGAGAAACATAACGATTGGAGTTCCTCAGGGTTCCATTTTGGGCCCTATACTGTTTCTCAATTATATAAACGATCTACTCATGACGGATATAGGAGCACGGTATACTCTCTTTGCCGACGACACCACAGTGTGGGTGTCAGCAGACTGTTTACATAGTGTCTTGGAGGGTTTTGTGGCGGCGCAGGGGGCGGCCGATCAATGGTTCAGGACAAATAAGCTTCTCCTAAACAGAGATAAGACAAATAGGGTGGTTTTCTCTATGAGAGACCTTTCAGATTTTGACTTTCACGATGCTGCTAATGTGAGGTTCTTGGGCGTGTATGTGGATCCTCGACTCCGGCTCGATGTTCATATTGAAAATACTTCAACTATGTTGTGAAAAAAACCTGTACTTGCGGCATTCTCTTTCCAAAAATGTATCTCTTCAAACTTTAAAAACGGCATATTTTTGGGTTTTTCACTCCCATCTTGCGTATGGTGTCCTTGTTTGGAGACATTTATCAGGAGCCCAGCGCATGTTTAGCCTACAGAGGAAGGCTATTAGGGTTTTGGGGGGTCTGGGATTTCGGGACGATTGCAGGGCTTTTTTCAAGAGTCTACAGATTTTGACGCTTCCCTGTGTTTTTATACTGGAATGTGTCCTTTATGTAAAAAGAAAACAGACATCTTTTCACAACTCATCAGGACCTACATCTTGACCTACATAATTATCGAACAAGGCGCTGGGCGGATATTGCGTCTATCTATTGGCGTTTGGAAAGGTGTCAAAGTGGGCCAGGGTACTGGGCCATAAAGTTTTTCAAAGTTTTTCAGTTGTTTACCATATAATGTTAAGGATTTGGATATGAAGGACTTTAAAAGTAAAATGAAGCAAATTTTAATGTGTCATTGTTTTTATTCATTTGCAGAGTTTTTAAATTTTAAATTTTGATTTTAATATGTTGTCATAGTTATAGTCTTTGAAATATATCTTGTGACTTTGTTGTTTTGATTATTTTAATTTTATAATGTATTCAAGTACTTATGTACCTATTAGATTTATATTTTGATATTCTGTTTTTCACGTGTGTAAATCGCCTTATAATATTGACATAAATAAATGATATGATGAATATGATTATTTTAAAGTTTGACTATTCGTCTTTGGGCCACCATCACAAACTTCTTTTTTTTTCCATAGCTGCTGGTAAAGTTGCCTTTAATCTACTAAAAATAGTAGATAAAGTAGTACTTTAACCGCAAGGGTAGATTAAATGATACTTTAACATCAAGGATAGATAAAGACGTTTATTTTGTCAAAAATAGATACCTACATATTTTGTTTTTTATTTATTTGTCAAAGTTTGTCAAACGAATTTTTACTTATGCAAAAGTGTTCGACTCCAATAATTTCTAAATATATTTGATACTACAGGCGTCCATAATTAGGCTATGGAAAAAAAACTTTGTTTTACACACGACGATAAAATGCCATTATCATCTCCCGGAATTAATTCACTCGCGATTCCGCTCGTGAATTAACTTTTCCGGTCAACGATAAAATAGCATCTGTATAAAAAATAACTATCAAATACCAACCCTTATTATCTATTTTAGATTTTATAAGCTTCTGATCTCCCAAAAGCAACAACGTATTACACTTATTCGAAAAATTCATGTTATTGGCGCTTTCCATAAGAACTTATTGTGTTAGAGAGAGACAGGGAAGAGAATTTTGGTAGGAATTTTTTTTCCAATAAATGCGATACGTCATAGGTTTTGGGACATCAGAAGCTCTTAAAATCTGAAATAAAAAATCAAGGGCCGTATTTAAAAAAATGAAGTTGATAGAATAGAATAGACCAACCGTTCTCCACACCCTAATGCTATCCCATCCTTATTTTGGACACACTATATATAGCGAGCGATACGATATATCGATACGTCCGCAATGATCGAGCATATCGATACAAATTTGCGGAAAATGTTTTTTTGCATTCGGGTGCTTCGGCAGACTCGTGCGGAAAAAATCATATTCCGCACTTGTTAGGTAAATAGCTATATTACATACAATCATTTTTTTAAATAGCGGCCGAAGGTCGCGTTCTTTGTAACCGTACTTTTCAGTAACCACTTGTCCGCGCACTTGCCGCTTCTCGAGCGTGATAGGACATTTCCTTGCGAGTGCGCATATCCGTAAAAAAAAAAAAAAAACGATTCGGTTTCTTTGGTTAACGTTTGGCTATATTCGGATGATAGCCTTACTGAAACTTGATGTAAATTCCTATTATTATTTTTATAGCTATATTATATATAATCCATTTATTTAGCATTTCCTAGTTACAAAGTTTACAAGAAGGTATAAGGATTCAATATAATTTCTCTAATGTAAAGAGAGATAAAATAATACAGTTCAGCCGTAAAGTAAGGAATAAATTCAATAATTATTCTTCTAAGCAATTTTTTTTAAAATCCTCGAACACGTCAATTTTATTTTTTGTCGAGCATTTTTTAGAAAAGAAAATTATTATACAGGCAGCGGCGTCCATAGGGGGGGGGGGGGGCAAATATGGGGCACTTGCCCCCCCCCCCCCCCCCCCCCCCCCTAGGCCTGGCGATTATTATTGTTTCATGATGCTACCATTGCTACCAGAGCAAACGGTTAATTGTAGAGAAAAACCGATTTTACATTCCTTTCTTAGATTTTTATAAACTATCATTTGACACCAACTTTGAATTTAATCCATGATTAAAAATTCCAATAAAATTTAATCTCTGGTTAAATTCAAAGTTGGTGTCAAATGATAGTTTATGTAAATCTGAGATAGAAATGTAAAATCGGTTTTCCTCTAAAATTAACCGTTTAGGTTTTACAGCCTGTCAAAGTTACAAAAAGTCAATTTTCAACTGTCAATATTTCCGAAACAGTTAAATTTAGGTATAGGATATGTTTCATAAAAAATACTTAGAATTTTATCAGAAATCCGAAAATGTAAAAAAAAATTAGGGGGCGTGTCTATTTAAAAAATTTTAGTTACCACCTGCCAGCTTTTTTGCGACCACCCTGTATAATAATTTTATTTTATAAAAAAGGCTCGACAAAAAATAAAATTGACGTGTTTGAGGATTTAAAAAAAAATTGTTTGAAAGAATAATTATTGAATTTATTCCTTACTCTACGGCCACACTATGTAATATAATTAAAATATAAATTAGTTAACAAACAAAGATACAATAAGCAGTAAAAACGAAGTAAAAAAACACAATAAAAACTCAAAAGCATCAAACAAATAACATGTAAACAACTAGTAAGCCATTGGCAATATTCCCATCTAGCATGCTTCCGTCACCAATTCCTTTTTTAGAAGAGATTTGAATGCACGTATTGTCTGGACTGTCTTAAACCCTTAAAAAACAGTGAATTTTGTGATCTTTGTCGGCTTACCCGTGCAAAGTGAAAATCATGGCGCGACCTTGTGTTGTCATCATGCACATCATAATTAAATATGATACTGCCTGTCAAGTAACTTGGTGCAAGTCCTAGTTTAATTTTGTGCACTTCTTAGGATAATCCTCATGGCGCGATTTTGCAGTTTTCGAAGCCTATCAGTTTTATTCTTGTTTAGTAGGAACAAGATTGTAAAACAATAATTAAAATGTGGCAAAATTAAGGTAATAAAAATAATTTTCATGCGAAAAGAAGTGAGAAATTTTGAACTTCGCGCCAAGTAGCTAATCTTGAAAACTAATGTCTTAATCGCTTTTAATGCATGAGTCCTAAATTTCAATTGTCTATCTATCCAAACTCCCAAGTATTTAAACTTTTCCACCATGTCCAAAACATTATTTCCTATTTTAATTGTATACCCATCACTGATGAAACTACTATAGGCCATCTCTCTTCCTATTATCACATACTTGGTTTTTGATTCATTAACTTTGAGATCATTGAGATTGCAGCAGTGATAAACATCGGCCAATGCACCATTTGATGTTGATGTCAACAATTCTAAGTCATCACTTGCAAGGTAAAATAATGTCATTAATATATAAAATGAAAAGGAGAGGTCCCAGGACTAGTGATGTAAAATTCCCAAAACATTCAAAAGCCGCGAACATTCTCGGAAACTTTCCGGGAATATTGGAAACTTTTGGGAACTTATGGAAATATTTTTCTTTTTTTTTTTCAATTTATAGCTAGATCAGACAAATCATAGTAAGCTTTATTTACCTATTATTGTAGTGTACTGACTATAGACTTTAAACCAAGAAAAACACCTATTTTTTTCTGTAAGATCAGCTAAAAATTAAACTATGTAGTAAAAACACTTTTATGGATGGTTGAATAAGACTTTAATCCGATTAACCCAATCTCTCAGCTCTTTATTTTTTATCTTTCTTCAATGAAGATTATTAAAAAAAAAGACAAACTGTAGGCTATAGGTACATCAGCTGCTGATCGGGTAAATCGGATCAGCGTTTACGTAAAGACAGTTGGACTGGGCTTACGTCATCCACATAAATTGAAATGACGTCACTGAGACCTTGTATTCGCAATAATCTCACATTTTTATAAAATTCTTCTGGAAAGTTGTTGGAAATATTCTCGAAAGTTCTCGGAAATATTCTTTTGAGAGTTTTTGATTGAAAGTTTCCGGGAATATTCTCATTCAGGAGAACGTTTCCATTTTTTATCGGCGAATATTCTTGGAAATTTCCCAATGTTCGCGAATATTCGCATGGGAATATTCTCGACTCACATCACTACCCATGACGCTTCCTTGAGGTATACCCCATTGTCAACTGGTATTTCTTCAGATAAAATATTATTTCCTCTTAAGTTTTTGTGTCCTATTCATCAAATAACTTATAAACCAGTCTAGAGCTGTATTTCTAATACCTATGTTTTTCAACTATTAATTTTTCTCTATTTACAGTCTCAAAAGCACGCCTAAGACCTAAAAAAACTGCTCCTATTGTCAGGTTGCTATCCAAACATCCTCTCCAGTCCTCTAGCACACACTGCACCGCTGTCTCGCAACTTAACCTATTTGTAAAACCTGACTGAAAATTACTTAGAATATTATTAATAATAAAGTCCGCCAATTGAGTATAAACCACTTTTTCCGATATTTTATCAATAGCAGAGAAATGATTGATAGGCCTTAGGTCATTTGCCTTTTTTGATCTGGAAACTTTGGGTATTGGAATTATTGAGGGAATTATAGTGGACATTTTCAATACTGAAGGAACTACACCCTTTTCCAATGAACAATTTATTAGATCAAGTAGCGGATGTTTTATGTTTTTAATGAATTCAATGTTGATACCACCCGGACTAGATTTGTTGGCCATGCTAAAAATGATGCTTTTCAATTCTTCATAGTCTATGAGCTCAAAATTGCAAAAGGGGCTAACATTTAGCAATGGTGGCATTGTGTAAGTTCCTATTGATGATTTATCTATTTCGCTTAAGATATCCCTAACACTATCTACAAAAAACTTATTTAGAGAGCTTGAAATATTCCGCACATCACTCACCATTTCATCATTTATTTCTACTTCTGTAATTTCAGAAGAAGTATAATTTTTGGGAAAGAGAGTTTTCAAAGTTTTACAATTTCAGTCGGATTATTTTTGTTCCCATTGACTTTTTCCTCATAAAATTTTCTTTTTTCTTCGCGCATAATCCCAACACAAGCGTTTCGACTTTGTTTATGTACGTCATACCATACAGAACATTTTTCTGTGCTTCTTTATAACTTGCGTCTCTGATTATTGATATCATATGAAACTCGATATGAAAGCATTTGCTACCATCAAATGTATAATAAAATAAGTTTAGAAATGTGTCAAAATATGTACTTGTGGTGTTTATGTATTATATGTTTTTTTTTTTTAATTTGTTTCAGTCCCATACCGGATCAAGGCAACACTGCAGAGATAGTTTTAACAGCACTACATCACAATTTTTTGGGAGTGGATGAGTTTTTAGGCAGAGTCACTATACCGTTGAATACTTTGGACATATATGAGAGGCCGAAAAACAAATTGTATCCCTTACAATCAAAAACTGGTAAATATACCTAATTGATAAAAAAAAAAATTATCATCAATACTGCTTGTTTTTGGTTTGTGAAAACTGCGGTTAACTGGGCTTTGTTAACTCCAAAACGCTATTAACGGAAAACTGGTTAACGGGTTTTAAAATAATTGGGCAATCGATTTCAACTGAAACCGGTTTCATTAATAGGCCAATAATCGGTTTCTATATTTTATATTTTTTGCTATCATTACTAGGAGCATCTTGGGGCATTTTTTTTGTATTTTGTATTTTGTATGTGTTGGAGGTGTCAGTTGCACCGCGACCTGGTAGATCTATTGTACCCCTCCTTCTGCTGCCAGGTCAGGGCTTTCTGCTCAAAGCAGCCCCTCCAGTCCTAGGTCCTGAAGGAATCTTAGGATATCCAGCGGTTCCAGAGTTGAAATATCTTCCAACTGTATGGTGGGGCTTCCCAGATTCTTCATCCTTGAACGACTAATGGCATTACAATTCAGTAGGAGGTGGTGAGGTGTTTCCTCTCCAAGTTCGCAGAATCTGCAGGTGCCATTTTCTCCTAGACCTAATTTGTGTAGGTGTTTTTTGAGTCTGCATGTCCCGAGAGGAAACCGGTTAGCGTTTTGAGACTTTTCTTGCTAAGGTTGACTAGCAGTTCTGATCTTTTTTGGTTGAAGTTGCCCAGTAGATCTTTGGCCTGCCGCAGTCCTGGCTGTTCTAGTCAGTGTTTGTTTCTTAGCCGGTTTTCTTCCTTTTTGAGGATTCCTTGGAAGTGCCTATTGCCGAGACCACAGAATGGTTCTGGCCCAGTGAAGGGGGTAGAAGCTCCCGTTCTTGCGAGTGCATCTGCGCATTCGTTGCCCTCAACTCCCATGTGCCCAGGCACTCAGAGGAGAGTTACTTTGTTTTCTTTTCCTAACTCATTGAGTTTCTGTAGACATTCCCATACCATCTTAGAATTGATGACTGGTGAGTTCAATGCTTTGATAGCTGCCTGGCTGTCAGACATTATCGTAATTTTTCGTTTCCAGTATCTTTTGTTTAGATTGAATTGCACGCATCTTCCGATCGCATGCAATTCCGCTTGGAAAATGCTTGGTGACTTGCCCATAGGCTCCAAGTATCTGGTCCGTGGCCCGAATACTCCTGATCCTGTTCCCTCAGCTGTTTTGGAACCGTCTGTGTACCATTTGATGGTGTTTGCTTTCAGGGATTGGAGAGATTCTATGTTCCATTCTTTTTTCGTGCTTAGTTCGATGGAAAAAAGTTTGTCGAAGCTATATTTCTTGATAGTTTCATCTTTTGGTAGATCCATTAGGTGTGAACAGTTTGGAAGAGGAAAAGCTTTACCAGAATGCGATTTTCCTTGAATACCGATCTTCGCCAGTCTGAGGTGTGATCCACTTGCAACCCGCTTCAGTATTATGTGAAGTGGTGTGAGGTCGACTATGACCTCTAGTGCCGAAGTTGGACATGAACTCATTGCTCCTGTTATACAGAGACACGCAAGTCTTTGCACCTTTCCTAGGGTTTTCCTAGCTGTTACTAGCTTGGTTCGGCTGTGCCAAGCTACTGCTCCGTAGGTGATGATGGGTCTCCTATCATGGTGTACATCCATCGCAAGATTGATGGGTTACAGCCCCACGTTTTACCCGCGATATTTTTGCAGACCATGAGTGCCGAAATTGCTTTGTTTTTTATGTTTTCCACGTGTCGATTTCAGAGAAGTTTAGAGTCTAGGGTTATTCCTAGGAATTTTACTTCTTGCGTCCAATTGAGTTTGCTTCCATTGAGGTAAATGTTTCTGATATTTGGGAGTTTTGTTTTTCTTGTGAATGTTACCAGCGTGGTTTTCGCTGAGTTTAGATTCAACCCCACTGACTGACACCATTTCTTCGTGGTTTGAAGTGCTTTTTCTATAAGGTCACAGAGTATTCCTTCGAATTTGCCTCTGGCCATAATGACGATGTCGTCGGCATATCCAAAGCAGGTGAAGCCCTGGTCGGTCAGTACGCCAAGGAGATCATCAACCACTAGACTCCACATCAAGGGTGATAGTACCCCTCCTTGTGGACATCCTCTAGTTGTGTTGACTTGTATGGTTTGCTCACCTGCATCAGATTCTACAGTTCTGGTTGCAAGCATTTCGCACATCCAGGTGGATGTTGTTTTGTCTACTCCTTTCCTGACGAGTGCATTCTTAATTGATTCATGAGAGGTGTTATCAAATGCCCCCTCTATGTCTAAGAAAGCACAGATGGCTAGTTCCTTACACTTATTCTGAGGTAGTTATCTACAACTTTCTCTGCTGTTTTCAGTAAGAACGACGTAAGGCATATAGGTCTGAACGACTTCGGTAGAGTGGCGTCCTTTTTCCCTACCTTTGGGATGAAGGTTACCTTGGCTCTTCTCCATTGAGTTGGCAAATACCCGGTCGCTAAACTGAATCTGATCAGTTTCATCAAATACGGCATAATTTCATTTTGCCCTTTTTGCAGCAGGGCTGGAAAGATGCCGTCAACTCCAGGCGACTTAAATGGTTGGAATGTGTTGATCGCCCAAATAAGCCGCTCGGGAGTGCAAAGGTTCTTGGCAACCTCCCAATTTTCTTGCCTGGTTTTCTTGGGTTGACCTTTGCTTTCTCTAGTACTATTTATTGTACTTCCTGGAAAGTGAGTTTCCAGTAATAGAACAGCTCGTTCTTGCTCATTTTCTGTGTAGCTACCGTCTGGTTTCTTAAGTGTCAGTGGTCCTTGCGTCCTGCCTTTTGCCAGGGTTTTGTATAGTCTGGCTGCTAGTGGAGTTTCTGTGATGGATTCACAGAAATCTCTGAAGTTTTTGCGTTTGGCCCTTCTAATTTCTTTGTTGTATTCAGTAAGCCTCTCGGTGTAACCCTGCCATTCTCCGTCTCTTTTTGCTCTATTAAAGAGCCGACATACTTCGGATCTAAGTAGTGACAGGTGGTTACTCCACCATGGGCTACTACTATTTTTGTTTACTTTTTCTTTTACGGGACAAATGGATTCATATGCCTCCATGATTGCCCCGTTAAGAAACTGGAGCGATTCTTCTGCTTCTCGTGTGTTCTTGCATCTAAAGTTATTTTGTTTAAGATTGCATTGCAGGTTGATTGTGTATTCTTCCCAGTTCGTGTTCCTGGGGTTTCTGTACCAGATGGTTCGTTCCTGCACTCCTTCTATATCAAATATTATGATTCTGTGATCAGAGAGAGAGGGTTCATTGGACACTCCAATTCCTGATCATTTGGTCGATATTTGGACTACAAAGTGTTAGGTCTAACACCTTCTGTCTTACCCTAGTAACGAATGTTGGTGTATTTCTTACATTTTGTATATTAAGGCTAGTTTGAAAAATGAATTCTAACAGTTGCTCACCTCTTTGGTGCTCTCTTGCGTGTCAGTACTTCGCCAAATGGTGTTGTGGGCGTTGGCGTCGCAGCCGAGTAGGAGCGGTAGGTTGCTCCTGTTACAGTACTCTACTAGTCCTTGTACTTCTTCTGGTGGTGCTTGCCCATCTCCAGCAAAGTATCCTGATGCCAGTACTAGTTCGCGGTGTGGTTGATTGGTGGTAAGGTTTACCCGAATGGCAACCAAGTCCCGCGACGTGAATTCTGAAAGACATAAGTGATTAATGTTTTCTTTCAGGAGAATGCATGCTCTGGGGTCGTTACACCGAGTGTCCCAGATTACTTTGGCCCGTCCACCGGGAAGGCCTCTGACCTGCCCTCCATAAACCCAGGGTTCCTGGATTAGTACGGCCCCGAAGTTTGCCGTAGTGATCAGCCGCGCTATGACAGCAGATGCTACCTTAGCGTGGTGAGTGTTCACTTGGGCTATTTTGGTATGGTTCGCCATCTTACCTGCTATTATTTTTATCTTCTGGTGAGATGGAGTGTATTCCTCCTATTCGCCCAGAAGCATGTTCTCTTCCTCGCTGGGGATTTCAGCTGCCGGAGTAAGGGTCTTTTCCCCTTCCTCGAGGCTTTCGTCCTCTTCACCTTCTTTGCTCTCTAAGAAAGATTCAGGCTTGGAACCTGAGGAGGTGGGCTCCTTTGGTTCTTCGTCCGACTCTTTCCTCTCCTTTTTCTTTCTCAGGCCATGGACGGGGATTTTCCCGAATCTGAAAAAGATGCTGTGTCCCATTCTTTTAATGGCCTCACAGGACCCATCGTCAATGCCGATGTTCAGTAATTGACCATTGCCTTCTTCTTTGCTGCCTAGTATTTTCCACAACTGGGTGTTAAGCCCCTCATTTTGGGTTTTTACTAGGCTAAGAATCTTTTGGCTTTCTTGCCCTTTACTTCTGGGGAAGAAGACTGTGATGGAGTGCGCTTTCGGGATGTCGTCTTCCATGCACACCATCAACTCTGTTCCCTGCCATGTCTCGAGTTTGGGGACGTGTTCCTTCAGCTACTCCACCGTTTCCTTGGTGAGGCAATCGATCACCAACATACTTGGGCGGAAGTGTATGTCCCCAAATTGGAGCTTGTGTTCCACGCCCTTTGTCATTTCCTCCACAATGGCATCCTCTAGTGCCTAGAGTTCCTCTGCATTGAGGGTCTCCTCAGGGAATGCTACGGGGAGTGCAGCAACTTTGATCGTTCTTGCTGACTCAGCATAGCTGGTGCTTGGCCCAGCGGCTCCGTCAGCATGAGGAGGTCCTATTTTCCTCCTTTTTACATCCGCTTTATGCGGAGGGGTTACGTTTTTGGGCCCCCTTTTGTGTGATTTGTCAGCTGGAGTGCTTTGCGATTTTCTTTGCAGGGCACTTTCTCTGGCTTCATCAGGTGTCTTGCCCTGTTGAAGGAACCAGCCCCACTGTAGCCTTTTCTCAGCGGGTCGTCAACCCCTCCAGGTTGTCCAAGAGCTGGCTTGTATGCAGCTTTCTTTGGTTGAGGTTTCTCTCCCATGAGTTCGGTACCCTGCTTTTGTTTTGCTTTTCCCTTCTGTCCCCGAGGTGATCTTGGGTACTGAGAAGTTCCTGCACGCTGACTTTCTCGGATGTCATGCTCCGTTTGGTCAGCTTTTGACGTTGCGGTGTTATCCCGCTTATTTTCATTTTTGTCTATTTTCTTATCCATGTTGTTCCCACGAATAGCTAGGGAAATAAAGGTCCACCACGTCGGAGCCTTGGGGCATACTAGGGCTTAATATTCTTCAGACTAGTTACCTATGAGTGGGAGAATAGCACTTCTAGTCTAGTTTGCAATGTAAAGCTCAAATGTTCGATTTGTTATTATTTAAGGTTAGTTCATTCAAAACCTATGTATTGTGGGCCAAATAATTCTCGAGATAATTGTAACAGGCTTTTTGCAGAGCTTGACATGATCTACAATCTGTTGCAATGTTTAGATCTAACAAGCCCTTTGTTGCATTATCTTTTTGTGCTGTCTGAGTATCAGATTTATCAGTATCATTGGAGCCCCAATTTTCCCACTCCAGAAATTTACCTTAGGGTACAATCTACTGCTAGCGATTTTGGGTATAATTTAACTAACTCAAGTAAAATGATCATATTTCTGATGTTTCATAGTTAAGCAATTTTTTTTTTTGAAAAACATTTTAGGTCATAAACAAAAAGAACGAGGGCAGCTAGAAGTTAAAATAGCCTTCAATGTGAAATCTGGCAGTCTCACAAATCTGAGCAAAAAAGAGAAACAAAAATCATCCCTGTCCGTAGTAGCTCAATCTGTTGGAGGAAGTTTATTAAGCCTGGGAAGCGGAGAAAGGAAAGGAATAAGAAAACTTGCCAAGTCTATAGGGTCAAAATTACATTTGAAGGGCAAGAAGAAGGATGATTTTGATGATGGAGCTTCCTCCATTGGAAGTGTTGGCAGCTTGAATATGCGTAGCCAAACTTTAAACAGGAAATTTAGGAGCAAACAGACTCTTGAAGATGCAGATCCTGGAGTTGTAAGTGACGAAGATGAATTTACTGTGAGTATTTTTTTTTTTAAGATGTAGAATTCACCTACATACTGGTGCATTGAAATTATTGTACTAATGTACAGGGGCCGAGTTCGTTTTTGTCATCTTTTTCGTCGATTTGCTCCGAAATTTTGACAGGCACGTGTTTTGTAAACTGAAACTGTCTTATCCAGTCACGTGCCTGTCAAAATTTCAGAGCAAATCGACGAAAAAGATGACAAAAACGAACTCGGCCAGGGTTATTTGTTATAAATGTCATCCCCTCTTATCTTTTTTATTTGACATTTTAGAAGGAAGTGTCCCAAATAAAAGTTTTATGGTTGAAATTAAATTTTTTGAAAAACTCACTTTCGCATATACAGGGTGTTTCAGAAAAGCTGTTCGTTCTCCAACGCTCCTATTTTAAATGGAATACCCTGTATATTATTGAATATTCGGATTCTACGTAAAATTCTGAGCAGATTTCATGTGCTATACCCCATACCTAAGTTCAACTGTTTTGGAAATATTGACAGTTGAATATTGACTTTTTTGCAACTTTGACAGGCTGTAAATCCTAAACGGTTAATTTTAGAGAGAACCGATCTTACATTTTTTGCTAAGATTTTCATAAACTATCAGTTGACACGAATATTTGACAGCAACTTTGAATTTAATCCATGATTGAAAATTCCAAATAAATTTAATCTCCGGTTAAATTCAAAGTTGGTGTCAAATGATAGCTTATGAAAATCTAAAAAAAAAAAAAATGCAAGATCGGTTTTGCTCAAAAGTCAACCGTTTAGGTCTTACAGCCTGTCAAGTCAGTTTTCAACTGTCAACAGTTGAACTTAGGTATAGGGTATATCACATGAAATCTGCTCAGAAATTAATGTAGAATCCAAATACTTATTAATATACAGGGTATTCCATTTAGAATCGGAAAGTTGGAGTACGACCAGATTTTCTGAAACACACTGTTTATGCGAAAGTGAGTTTTTCAAAAAATTTAATTTCAACCATAAAACTTTTATTTGAGACACTTTTTTTGAAACATCAAAAAAAAAAGATAGAGGGGGTGACATTTATAACCAATAACCCTGTACCTATCATAATAAAATACTTCAATAGAAGAGATCTAATAGACTAGGTGCCGGTACTTTCCCTCCCATTTGACGGCCGTTAAAAATAATCAGGGGTTTGAATGTGCTGTAACCACATCATACTTATAGACCTTGGCCCATGCAAAACTTTGATGACGTATCAAATTCGTTAATCGAGAGCAAAAGTATCAGCCCTAGGTTTAACGAAATACACGAAGCATTAAAAAACGAATTTTATTTCAGTTTGACGATTTGTCCCACAAAAGTTCTGCTAGTTCTCTAAGCATCCAAGCAAATGTTTCCAGCACCGCATCACCTCCAGCCATAAAGGAACCTGTACCAGAAAATGCACCTTCTAATAACATTGTGATTCCTGTACCTGTGTTGGCCAAAAGTCAAGTACTTCCTCCTTCAAAACCACCAAGATCTGAACCTAAACCTCAACAGGATGAATGGGAAACCAAGTTATTTGGAAACTCCAAACCTAAAGGTAACTACATTTAAAACTGCTTCAATTATTGAATTGAGAAAATACACTCACATATGTAGGTTGTTTCAAAATATACCAGACGTCCTCCTTTCATTTATTTCCACGATCTCAAGATAATTTATGTCTCAGATTTATTATCTTAGTGCAAAATTTTTAAATCTGAGGCAAAGTCCTGATTTTCTGAATCTAGATGTAATGCTTAATGTGGAAGAGTTTTATTTTTCATGAAACTAGATTGATGTTCTTTAATTCTTGTTTTAAAAGATCTTTCTATTTGTCCAATATAGTATAATTTCGGATAAGTACCACATTCTAGAAAGTAAACTGATTTGGATAGTTTATTCCATCTAGTTTTGTTATTTTTAACGAGTTTTCTTAAGTCGTTATTGTTTCTAAAAGCAGTCTTCATCTTGTTTTTGGATAAGTTTGTTTTTGACTAATTTTCAATTCCATACATGAACAAATAATTGAATCGGAATTTGGCATGGTGTGTATATTTCTTACTGTTTCTGATAGTCCCAAACTTGAAATAATCTGTATGTCCTTGTTTCTGTTTTACCTGCATTTTTTTCAGTGGATATGCATTTTCCCTTCCAAAGACAATATCACTGTACAAAATATGTCTCCCTGTAGGCCTATTTTGTATTAAGTTATCACATATCTGAAGTGTTTCTGATTTTTCCTCGGATTTTTCAAAAGCATTCAACTGCGTGAATCGCAGAATACTGTTCCGCAAAATGTGCTATTATGGATTGGGGGAAGAGAATTGAGCTGGGTTGAGTTGTACCTTTCGGAAAGAAGCCAGTTTGTGAAAATTTCAGGCAGGCAGGATTGAGTAGAGTCCAATCTACCACACGGCGTTTCCCCGGTGCCCGTCCTTGAACCTGTCCCTCGACCTGTCCTATTTTTGGTCTAAAAGTTCTTGCCGCTCTGCCTGTTCTGGGAGATTTTGCGATTTTTACAGATGACAACAGTACTTTGGAAGCATTAACATAAGGAAGTAATTTGAAATAGACTTGGAATGGTGTGACACAACCTGTTGCCTGGTCTTTAATTTAACAAAGACAAGTAGGTATGCTGACTTTGAAGTGTGATCTTGGAGGCATTACATTGGACAAGAAGAATATAGAAAAGAAACCAGCTGTCAGGTTCCTGGGTGTGCACATAGATTCCAAGCTCAGATTTGAGTATTTCAGGGTAGATCATAATAATTTTAGAAACTGCACATTGCTTCTACCAATCCCACAGTTAACAAAGCAGTTCGTAATTTATGAAGGAATTCGGGTTTTCTTAAGAGATTTTCACTTACAAAGACATTTTACAGCCCTCACGAATTTAATAATTGATTCGGTGTGATTTTGTTAAGGATTTTGTTTATGTCTCAGTTTATGTACTTTTTTCATAGGTTTTTTTATTTCTCACTTACATTCCATTTATATTTTTCATTTTGAATACTATACATTTTTCTTTTCAATTTTTATGCTAAGTGTGTTTTTAAGAATAATTGTGAGTAATTTATAATTTATAATGCATTGACAAATTGGGTTGCAACCATTCCAAACAGAGGCATGTGGAGCTATCTGGTCAGTCAAATTGGTCCTATCCAAAAAAATAATTACAGGCCATTCAACAGCTACAAACCCATCCTGACCGTCTTCGCCTACTTGAATGAATGGGCGCAGTCACTAGATAATGGCCTACCAATAGATATTTTGTACTTCGACTATGAAAAGGCTTTTGATAAAGTGCCTCATAAACGTCTTATGGTAAAAATTGGATCAGTTTGTAGGCATCAGAGTGCAAAAATTATCATTTATAGAAAAAACTCATAACGCCTGAACCTTTAGGGTTAGACTGAATGGTCAGCTCTCAGAGCCAAAACCAGTCCACAGTGGAGTCGTTCAAGAGTCAGTCCTCGGCTCGCTTCTCTTCACATGCTACATTGCAAATCTTAGTGAAGAATTACAAACTGAATGTCAGTCCTTTATAGACGACCGGAAGGTGTACTGCAAATCCATTGGCGGATCTGGAAAAAATCATGTCAGACATAATATTAGAAACCTGGACACAGTGCTGGCTAATGAAACTAAAGACTGGGAAGTGTACCTACCAATCTTTGCATTGAAAGAAATAACCTGCATTAACAAAACAGATTTCAAAACATGTTTCACTAAACTGTGACTTCATCAGACTGACTTAAACTGTAGTTCCAATGGTAAACGTGAATTAATTATTAACAGGTACATACTTTAGTATACAATAGATAATATGATTACCTGAATGAGGGACACATTCCAATAAAACATATTTAAAGACAGACTTGTCAAGCACAATAAAGTGAGCAGCAACTTTGTGACCTACATCTTAAACAGTGAAGATAACAAACAGTCAACTTATCGGTGAAAACCGCTTTACTTTGTCAATGATTGTACATTATAATTCATCCCAATAACGGTTTTTTGGAGTTGAATTGAATCGAAGATGCAAGAAATTTAATACTTCATTATCCAGGTATATACGGGCGCGGATTTGAAAGAAGGGTTAGAATGTGCATTCAAATATCTCCAAGAATTGCACAAATTAGGTAAATTCCAAAATTATTGTCGAGGGGGTAACCACTCAGTAAATATGGTGTACAAGAACTGTAATTTTTTGTAAATTTTTGTAAATATCAGTAATTTTTAGTAATTTTAGTAATTTTCAGTAATTTTTGGTAATTTTTAGTAATTTTTAGTAATTTTTAGTAATTTTTAGTAATTTTTGGTAATTTTTGGTAATTTTTGGTGATTTTTCAATAATTTTCCAGTAATTTTTTATAAATTTTGAAGGGTATTTTACAAAAACGTTTCTAAAAAAATTATTCTGGAAGTTTTGTGGAAAAATAAAATCTATACCGAGTGGGTCAATGCTTGAGCTCAAGCCAATGAAAAGAAAACGAATTTTTCATATTTATCGTCAGTTAAGAAAAAAGGCTCCGAAATGTTAATTTTTATTTCTGAGGGGAAAACTTTTTGCAAAGAATTTTAACTCGAGGCCTAGGGGGTAGGTACCTATACGTCGCGTCGTATACGAAAAATTGTAGGTACGGGTGAAGGGTGAAACCATAGATAAGGGTGGAGCTCACCCCTCTAGGGGATGGTAGCAATGGATGGGAGTGATAGTGTTGAAAATACGCACAAAAGTGTTCCCCGCGATAGAAAAATTGACGATAACATATCGATACGGCTGGAAATCCCCAATAACCGGAAGGCGGTCTTCATTGACAACAACCTGGGGTTTTTGCTTTAAAAACTGAAACTCCACAACTCCACGTAAAATTAAATTTTTGAGGTTAATTACACTCTGGCTCTGGCACGTACCATCGTCACCAAAGGTAACTGGGACAGCATCACATTAGCTCTTGTCCTATTATATGAATTTTATTGTCAAATATTTGTCAAACTATGCATTAAATTCATTGAAATGAATGACAGTAGAATTAGTCCAGGAAATTATTATGCATTATTTGTGTCCCAGTTACTTTTGGTGACGATGGTACATGCCACAATTTGAAGAGCTCCATTGAGGTACAGAACCAAGGATGATACACACTACTACTACTGTACTACAGGACATAGAGCTACAGGATGGCCTATCCTCATAGGCCAGTGTGTAACAAATCCCCCACCTTACGCTAAACTACCAGTTGTGACGTAGACAGCATGTTATTTCTTGCCTTGACGTAGGCTCTTTAAACAGCTGACGACTTAATTATGACGTCGGAACTGGTTTATGACGTCGGAACTGGTGACACACCAATATGGCGACGATTACCAAAAACGACGCTGAAAAGCAATCCTGTAGGTGTGTATAATCCTTGCAGCTAACAACTCAATTATGACGTCGAAATGGTTACACACCAATATGGCGTCGATTACCAAAAACGAGGCTGATAAGCAATCTTGTAGGTGTGTATCATTCTTGGTATAAAAACGCCTTCTACAACTCAACTGTCAATATTACATTCCTTCCCATAACGTGTGAGCTGTGAACTAATATTAGGCGAGTTCGGGTAATTCTTTGCTAGTTAAAGGATGACATCATTGACGGAAGCTCAAGTGAGCTTCCATTTGAAGCCATAGAAGATCAAGAACGATAAACCATAAGACGATAGTCGCTTTTCGTAAGCGCCGCGTTCGCCAATTTAGCCGACCGCATAGGTTAATGACCAGACGCGTGACGTCGTACTCCGGCCCACCGATCCAAAAATTTGGTATTTGTTACATTGCTCGACATTCCTCTGCAATGAAAATTCGAGAAGTTTAATATAAAACTTATCGAAATTTATCGCATTAAAAGCCTATTTTGGCATTGGCGCATCATTAAATGGCTAAACCCAAGATTGTTTGAGAGAGGTCGGTTGCCTGATAGCTTTATGACGTCATCCGGGGTCCTTAACACAATGCAAATCTCCATAAGGCTCCGCAGACGCGTCATCAGGTTACTCACTATAAGGCAACTTATAAACTTCAGGATTAAACCATATTATCCTCCTATAGCAATAACAATAACGCATAAGACTTGTTTCGAGTGAGCCAGGTGACGTCCCTGGAGCAGCGCGTGCCCCCGCTAAACTGGCGGAAAAATATCATTGATGAAACCATTCTCTGTGGTTTATCTTTCTTGATTAAAGATCACCTGCTCTATCCAAGGCTCCTAAAGTTGATAGGTTGTCTGGTAATGGGCAACTTGATGACGCATCTGGGGTGCCTTATGGAGATTTGCATTATGTTGAAGCATCTTAAATGACGTCATGCAGTTATCCAGGCAACCTGCCTCTCTCAATAATAACCTTGAGGTCTATCGTCTTTTTGCTCACGCAGGATTAACTGAACTCGCCTATTCTATAAACGCGATGATGCGTTACCAACGGAACGTGCGCGCGCACGCGTATTTGTAATTTCTGGAGCCCTTATTTGAAATCATTGTATTTGTGAGTGTGCCTATGGTCCCTCTTGCGA